TTTTTTTTTTTTTTTTTTTTTTTTAATGTTTAGTTGCCAATTGCCATATGATATTTTGCAGGGAATTTTGTTTTTTTAATAATGAACAGTTTCCCATGAGTGTTTTTGTTACTTTAATTTCTTCACGATCTTACTACCTAATTAACATGGATTCAGTTCTTGCAATTAGGAGATAATATATTCGGATCAAGTACATCTGATGCAGCAGAATCTCTGTTTAAAGCCTTTGGTCCTGCTATGGATTCAGGACTTCCTTGGGCAGCAGTTTTGGGAAACCATGACCAAGAATCAACTATGAATCGTGAAGAGTTAATGTCTTTAATATCCCTTATGGATTATTCAGTGTCACAAGTCAACCCATTAAATGATGATCTCACTAATCCTACTAAAGGTGGTGTGATGACTAACATTGATGGCTTTGGGAATTATAACCTACGAGTGTATGGTGCTCCAGGGTCCATGCTGGCAAACAGCACTGTTTTGAATCTTTTCTTTCTTGATAGTGGAGACAGGGCTGTTTATCAGGGAATTCGAACTTATGGATGGATCAAGGATTCTCAACTTAATTGGCTTCGTCGTGTTTCTCAAGAATTACAGGTAACAACAAAATTGAAATATTGCCACTGGTTGCTGTTTATGCCCACTTACCTTAAATTTAAAATAGTTGTTAATCATGCTAAATTTGGTTATAATTATAAAGAAACTAATTGTGTTATCTTTCTATACTTCAATTTTGACATGCTTCATTCCCGTGATTGTCTTCTTTGACTTATATTTCTGTTAATTTCTACAAGCAAATACAATCTTCATAATTTTCTCCTTTCTTGGTAGTGATTTTATACTTTTCTACAACTATATTTTTCTATGGAAAGTGTGAAAGAATTTTGTGAATACATGATACGTTTTAGCTTTGCCATATACTTCCTTTGTCCCATAATGGCTACAGCTTAAGATACACACAGATTAAGGAGAACGGTAAATGTATCACTTCTCGATACAATTTTACTAAAATAGCTTACTCTCTCAATAAATGCATTACTTTAAATTGTGATAGTTGAATAATTTATGAGGGAGAAAATTAGGAAAAAGTTAATTAATATTACACTAAAAAGTGAGAACATTCATTTTGAGACATTTTTCAAATGTTAAAATTGGATGCAGGGAGTAGTATTTATTCAATTGTAATGTGGAAAAGTTGCTCGAGGGGAATAGACCAAGTGATATGTGGGCAAAGTGTTATGTATTCTACATATGCACTATCTCATTTACATAAATCACTTGAAGTGTGTTTTGCAAGTCATTGAAAAAGTTTATAAACTAGTTTAAATGGCTTATAAGCTACTATCTTTTTTTGCTATTTCATTTATACTTGTTGGAATACAAACAAGTCTCACATCGATAAAATAATACAAGAAATAACAATTTATATAACAAAAACATACTTCAATGATTGAGAGGTCTTTTGGGTAATAACCAAAAGTAAAACCATGAGGGCATCATTGTGGAGTATGTTTATGTAATAACCTTATAAAAATAATAACCCCATCAGTGGTATCAGAGCCGCAGGTTGGATTTGATAAAGACAGATTCCGCTGTATGAAAGGTTAGGCTTTTTGAGATACAAACAAGTCTCACATCGATAAAATAATACAAGAAATAACAACTTATATAACACAAAAATACTTCAATAATTGATAGGTCTTTTGGGTAATGACCAAAAGTAAAGTCATGAGGACTTAGGCCCAAAGCGGACAATAATTCATCATTATAGAGTATGTTTATGTAATAACCTTATAAAAATAACCTTCATAAAATATCCCACAAATACCATAAAATAACCCCATCAATACCCTCATTAATTTATTTCAAATCTCTTTTTACCTTAAATAATAAATATGTCTTTTTATGTCATTTTACATTTATCAATTATTTTATAACTAATCTGATTAAACACTCTTAATTCAATCAGTTAGCTTATAAACTTCTAATTTTTTTAAGTTCCTAGCTGATAACTAATAAGCTTTTAGATAAGTAAGCAATTTTTACCTTGAAATAACTTTGGATGTGCTTCACACAAGGTTCATAAATGCATGAAATCATACTATAGCATGACTAGGAGTGACATGGGGGTAGACAGTAATGGTCCCAATAAGTTCCGGCTTTCACCCTTGTATCCTCGTATCACTAAACCTAAAATTGGTCAAATGATTTGAGAAAAATGTTAGTCGTCCTTTTATGAGCAGAATATTATTGATTTCTCATGCGTGCAATAATTCAATCACGCACTTGTGTTATTCATAGGACACGGCCTTTGTATTCCCTTGAGGGAGGTTTCCCAGATGTAGACCCCATTAACACCTTGCAGGTCACACACTAACAGGGACAAAAGCAGGATCTTCTTCATCCCACCGATGCTACTTCCACTACTAAACCACCATCCCTAGCATTTTTCCACATCCCAGTCCCAGAAGTTCCACAGCTGTTCCACAAAGAGATCGTAGGCCAGTTTCAAGAGGCCGTGGCATGTTCGCGGGTGAATTCAGGGGTGTTGCAGACCCTTGTCTCCATGGGAGATGTGAAGGCTGTGTTCATAGGGCACGACCACACCAATGACTTTTGTGGAAACTTGGATGGCATATGGTTCTGCTATGGTGGTGGCTTTGGATACCATGGCTATGGGAAGGTTGGGTGGCCAAGAAGAGCGAGGATCATACTTGCTGAACTTGAGAAGGGACATAAATCGTGGATGGGCGTGCAGAGAATAATGACTTGGAAACGACTTGATGATGAGAAGCTGACCAAGATTGATGAACAAATCCTGTGGCAGTCTAGATGACCACGATGCTATTGTTCCACTGTTGCACGTACGTGCATTTTATATCTTGTTGTTCACGCTTCTTCTTTTTATACCCGTTTGTTTCTTATTATTCTGCATTCCTCTTGCAGTTATGGTTAATGTCATGTGAAGCACTCATTGATTTGCCAGTGTCCGTCAGAGACTGTAAATTGTATCATTCCAAGAAATTGGAAACTATATATCTTACTTGATTTAACGGGTGATTGGTTGAAAAGGTACAAGCTTGATTTTCTTTAAATAAAGTCTCATGTTGATCTTTATTTATGGAAAAAATTCCTGTCGGAAGAGTTAGTTCCGTCGTACTGTATATATTCTGTGTTTGCATATAATGCTTTGTTTTGGAAGAGGGTAAGGTATTGAAGGGAATAGGTGATAAATGATTTGATAGAAAATAGAATCAAATTTGTAGTTGTTTGATAGGACAAAATTAGATAAGAATTAGTATTTTAAAATTGTATTTTATATAGTTAAATATTTATATAAAAAATAAATTATTTAAATAATTACACTTATACCTTTTGTATCTTTTTTGAAATATAGGCGTGAGGGTAGTCTTGTCTCGGTGTTTTTGTAAAAGAATTCCATGTCGGTTAAGGATGAATGAAATTTAACCTTGTCGGGTTTCCTATAATATTTCTTCAAATCCATTTAAATCATCTTTTCTAAACACATTTTTTTTAATTCCCTAATAATCCTTTCCCTTTCTCTTTATTCCCTGGTAAATCAGTTTCCCCAAAGACAAGCTAAGTGTTTACAAAACTGATTATGAATGTAATCAATTTTGTAAAATTGATCTTGAAGTGAAGTGGTTAATGTTCGAATGTTTTCTTCTTGAAATCTAGTTTAGTGTAAAACTTGATGTAAATATTTCAACTCAACGTACCAGTTACTTTTTAGGCAATTTCTTTTGTACAAGTTGTTAATGTGTTTTTGAAACATGTAACGTGGAGTCATGTTTTGCTTACACTTGTATGTCTATGCCATATAGGCTTTTGTGTTTAGTTTATCATTATTTTAGTTTGATCTAAAAGATTTGTGAGCAAAATTTTATATATATTGTTTTTTTTATAATTTTTTTTTTTATCAATGTTTTCAAATAATAACTCTACCTTTTCATATTCGTATCTAAGAGGAAGTTGTTCTTTCTCACTTAACGTTCATCGTTCTCTCAGGAAACCTACATTCTCAATAGATCTAGGGTATGTTTTTGTTCCTGACTCGGTGTTTTTCTTTCTCTTTCGAACACTACATTTTCTTAGGAATTCTACTTTTACATTTCCATTTATGTTTACCTTAGTATTTTTATAGTTGTTGTGAATGTATTAATAAATTTAGTTCTTTTTTGCTTTGTCCCTTTTCAACATTTTGGATATTACATTAATCTTAATATTTGTGAAAATGCTTGTTCGTATTCATGATCAAATCCTGCCATTAGTGGCAATTTATTCATCTTTTTTGTCAATACTCATTTGATTTCCAAGTTAGTCAAGGAATAATGCTTGTATTTTTTCAAAATACTTGATGGTAGAACTTTATTGCCCATGTGCTGTTTGGGGGAAATGATTAAACATGTCATATCATATTTGTTTCTTTATTTATGTATTTGTTGATGCTAATTGAACAACTTGTCGATAGGCTAGAGTTTATTGAATGTAGATGATGGCATAAGACTATTTGTTTTTTCTTCAAAGTTGTTATTGTATATATAATGTTTATAATTAGTTACAAAATTCATAATTGATATTAAATTAATACTTTATGTGTTTTTATGATTCAATAACGGATGAAAAACTTTAATGATGATCCATTTGTTAATTTGGATGATGATGATATTTATAGTGACCATGAGATGTTTGATCGAAATAAAACAGAATTCCATAAGGATGTTTCTAATGTTAACGACAATGTACATGTATCATCTGAAAAATATAAAAGTTTATTAGATTTGACGGATGATTATATTAGGTTTGGAGTTTGCTAGTGAAATTGAGGCTTATAATTTTTTAGATTTGACGGATGATTATATTAGGTTTGGAGTTTGCTAGTGAAATTGAGGCTTATAATTTTTATTTTGCATATGCAAAATGTCATGGATTTGGTATTCAAAAAGATAAGATAGGTTATGATGAGAAGAAAAATGTAGTAATACGTCAAAATGTATGCAACAAGACAAGATTGAGGAATAAAAAGCACTTTATGAGGAATAATATATCTCTACCTCATAAAAACTATAAAGTTACATATATGTGGGGAAGATGTTTTACTGCATCACATAATAGTGCTAACTATCTCCTTACAATAGTGGATGACTATTCTAAGGCTGTATGGCTGTACCTTTTAAAGAAAAAGTCAGAAACCATCACTTAATTAATTAATTTTTGTAAAATGGTACAAACTCAATTTGATGTTAAGGTGAAAGTCATCTATAGTGATAATGGAACAAAATTTGTGAATTCAAAAATGTGACTTTTCTTAAATGAACGAGGAATTTCTCATGAAATGTCATGCATAAGAATCTCTCAACAAAATGGTCGTATTGAAAGGAAGTATAGTCATATACTTGAAGTTGTAAGAGCCTTGAGGTTTCAAGCTAATTTGGCCTTATCTTTTTGGGGGGAGTGTGTACTCACTACCGTCTATTTAATCAATATGACTCCATTTGTAGCCAATAAAGGAGTAACCCCTTATGAAATGATTTACTAAAGGAAATCAAGCTATAAACATTTAAGGATCTTTAGATGTCTTTGTTAATGTTAAAATCTTTAAACCTAGAGATAAGTTTTCACCTAGAGCTAGAAAGTGTATTTTCAAAGGCTATCCTCAGGGTCAAAAGGGTTGGCATATGATTTGGAAACTCATGAGTTCTTAGTATCAAGGGATGTTGTATTTACGAGAATTCTTTCCCTTACAACTCACTAAATCAGGACTTTGCTAGAAGAAGGCTAGAGCAAAAGGAGATCACCTATGTAAAAGATAGTGAACAAGATCAAAAGGAGTCTAATGCTATCGAGAAAACTCAAGATTTTTCTAACGAGGGTTCTTAAAGTGAACCTCAGATTGATTAAACTCAGGTGGAGCAAAGAGTCATTACAACTCAAGAGTCACTAGTCCATGCATAAAGAATTAGACATCCTCCTGAATACCGTAAGGACTATATTTATCATGATATAACACAAAGACCCTCTTGCATGTCTTGAGAACAAGTAACCTCTTTAGGTAAGTCTTCTCACATTTCTCATTATATTAATTATGATAATTTTCTATAAAGTATAGAGCTTTCCTTGCAGCCATCATGTTTAATATTAAGCCTAAGAACTACATGGAAGCTTCACAACAACTTGAGTGGTGCAAAGCTATGCAGTAAGAAATACAAGCTTTAAGAGAAAATAATACATGGACTCTACAACCATTGCCCAAAGGAAAGAAATTGGTGGATTGTCGATAGGTCTATAAAGTCAAACATAAGTCTAATGGAGAGATAGATAAGTATAAAGCTCGTATAGTTACAAAAGGTTTCACACAAGTTAAAGAAGAAGATTTTCGAGAAACCTTTGCTCTAGTAGCAAAGATGACAACAATTCATTGACTGTTGTAGCAACTAAAGGTTGACAATTGTATCAAATGGATGTAAACAATGCCTTCCTTCATGGTGATCTTCAAGAAGTCTACATGGTTGTACCTTTAGGATATATTGTTCCACAACCTAATCTTGTTTGTCGCTTACGAAAACTCACTATATGACCTTCATCAAGCCTTTTATAATTGGTATGCAAAACTTTTGATAGCCTAACTAAATATGGTTTTCACCAATCTAGTGTAGATCATAGCTTATTTACCTACTCCTCGAGACAAGTCTTCCTTGTTATTCTTATATATGTTGATGACTTGATGTTGGCAGTGATACTGAGGCTTGCAATAGTTTTAAAACATATATGCATACTTGTTTTCACATGAAGGACCAAGGAGGCCTTAAATATTTCCTTGGCCTTGAGTTAGCACGTGGCCCAAAAGGCCTTTTCCCTAATCAAAGAAAATACACATTTGACATCCTTGATGAGTGTGGCATGATAAATTGCAAACCATGCAATTTTCATATGGAAAAAAATCATAATTTATCCTCTAAAGATGATGAATTATATTCAGATCCGTCTCGCTATAGGTATCTCATTAGCCGTTTGATTTACTTAACGATTACTATACTAGATATTACTTATTATTAAGCCAAAATATGCAAACTCCTCGACAGAAGCATTGGGAAGTTGTTATACGAGTATTATGATATTTGAAGACTTCTTCAAGTTAAGGCCTTCTTTTACCCAAAGACAATGACCTTTACCTTGTTGGCTACTACGATTTAGACTAGGCAACTTGTTCTATCACTCGACATTTAGTCTTTGGTTACGTCTTGAAGCATGGCTCTACTTCAATCTCATGGAAGACAAAAAAACAATCAACTATGTCTTGATCCTCTAGTGAAGCGGAATATCATGCTATGGCACATGCAACTAGCGAAATCATTTGGTTGTGCAACCTCCTTTCCTCATTGCTAGTACCATGTGCCACTGCCATCACTCTTCACTGTGATAATTAGCCCGCATTACACATTATAGCCAACCCTGTCTTCCATGAATGAACAAAACACATAGAAATTGATTCTCACTTTGTTTGAGAACATATACAGTCAGACACCATTGTTACCTCTTACATACCATCTCAACAACAACAAGTAGATATATTTATTAAAGCATTAAGATTTGTGCAATTTCATACTTTACTTAGCAAGTTAGGAGTTCATAGTTCCCACTCTCCAACTTGAGAGGGAATATTAAGATATATTTTATTTAGTGTTATTTTTAAGATATATCTTATTATCTCATAACAACTTCGTTTGGTCTGGTATGAGAAGATATAACAATCTAGCTTTATCCAGATAAGTTTTAGTTATGTAACTCTTTGGGTTCTTTATTTAATAGGTGTAACCATAAATTTTGATAGATATCTTTCTTCAAGTCTTCACAATTTATCTGGCAACATAATTTTAAGGCTACTTTGCTATCATTAAATACTACAAAACGAACCATTGCCATATTGTTTTCCAACATAATTTAAGGAAAGCAGATTTTGTGGTAAATGAATTTGCCAAGCTTGGATCAACACAATACCAACCGTGGCTGATGGATTTTGTAGCATCTTTTTTTTTTATTTATATTTTTTTTATATTTTATTTTATTTCTAATGCATCACTATAAGAAACTTTTGTATCAAAATTGAATTGATGTCTTTTCAAATATTCCA